GAGCCACCGCGCCCGGCCGATTACCGTTTTTTTTAAAAGGTACTTATTTTAACTATATTCACTGCTACAACAGGACCAGTAACAACTGTATTTATAAAAACAAAAACAAAAACAAAACTGCCATGCAGTTACAGAATTACTTAATACAGAAAACACGAAAATACACTTTTTTTTTTCTACAAACAAGACTAGCTTATAGCAAATTCTCTATAGCTAAGGGTCAATTTAAAATCCTTGGCTTATATCTCCCCCTCACTCAATGACTATACGATACAAACTAATTTTATTAACACCTTAAGCAAAACATAGTAGAATTTCACAAAATGTACAAGATTTCAATATTTAAGGAACTGGTGTTAGAAAGCGGAAGTGGCTTTCAGGTCTTCCAATCTTTCTCTCAAGTAATAAAGCTCTGCCGTGGGAAATTACCTGCAAATTTTTTTTTTTTTTTCCGTTTTCCCACTATGTTTTTTTTCTAGATATGTAAGCTTACTCCATTAACCAAAATCTCAGCTTGATCATTCTTGATAAGTACCTAATCGATATACAATTTTTTTCTGCCTTAAATATGTATAACAGGACAGAGCCCTTAAATCTGATTCAATTATTAATTCCCAATTTACAGGTGCTACTGTGAGCTAACAGAACTTATCAATGCCTTTATTGTACTTTACCAGCCAAATTTAGAAGGTTGGAATTAGTCTCTCCTATGTAGTATTCTGTCAGTTTGTCCACCTTGCACTTTTAATTTTGCTTCTAATGGTAAAGTGCCCTATCCCTTGAAATAATCTACATTTTGGGAGGGATAATTCTTCATTGTGCCAGGCTGTCCCATGCACTGAAGGGCATGAGTGTCTTTAGCCTTAAATGCCAACAGAAGCCCCGAGTAAATATGACAACCAAAAAAGTGCCCCTACACATTTCTCAGCATCCTCTGGAAGGACAGGTTACTGCCTCTATTTGAAAGCCACTGGCACAACTTTGGTTTTCAGGCTCTTATGGCATTTATTTTAATTGCCCAGACATCAATTCCATCTAAATTCTTAGTTGTAGCCTGGTTCCTTGAATTTGCTGGAAGGTGTTTCAATAGTTAAGACAGGACTTTGGAACAATAATTTTTAAACTGTATAATACTTGAGAGGATCTATGAATATAAGTTGGGTCCTGTTTATAATTAGTTTTACATAGCAAACTTTAAGATTGCCTTTTCACGGTTAACAGAGGTTTAGAAACTACCGTTTTGGCACAAAGCAGATTATCTTAATGGAAATACAGAATTATTGAAATCTGTGAATAAGACTGCTTTTAAATATTTCTACTTGTGTGCTATCTTAAATATAGAACGTGTTCCACAGTTCCAAATTTTAGAATCCATTTCTAGCATCTAAAAAAATCTGATACTGTATCATTTTAAAACAAAGTGTTTACTTTAAGCAGGATTTTTTTAAATACAGCAGCAACATCCACGCAGATAAGACAAAAAAGCTAAAACATCTCACACCTCCTAATCCCGGAGTGCAAAAATCTTTTTTCCTCATCCTTTTTGATAGGGCCAAACTTGTGTCTACAGTAAAAAAAAAAAAATAATTACTAACTGGCAACCATTAAGATTCTATACTTACCATAGTCCTTTAATAGGCAAGCTGATAAAATAGCCCCTAGTTATAAAAAAAAATCCAAGGAAAACCCCCAATAATTAGTCTTATCTCCAAATTGCAGGAAATCTCCTATATCAGCAACTTAAAAATGATTCTAATGACTTCCTCTATCAGTAATGTCAGTATCACTGAGGTGGGTGATGGGGAGGGAAGAGGGAAGAAATTTGTCAGTATTACCTTCGGACTCAGAAATGTTTAAAAAAGAGTCTCAAACATTTTGATAGTTACAAAACACCTCCACTGTATGTATCATCTTCCTTTTCGGAAACTTATGAACTTGCTATGTGAGTTTCTGCAAATTGGTTCAAAAGCACATTTAAAGAGTTGATAATTTAAGACTATATGAATCAGAATTTTAACACTCCATTAAAACAAGAGCTGAAATTTTTGGCATATATCTTCAGAACACCTAAAAAACAGACCGCAAATTCAACTCACATTAATACTAAATCTCTTTAAAATTAACTATATCATAAAAGACAACGACTTTGTCATTAAACTAAGTTTTAAAAAAGGTGGCATTCTCATGTTTCAGTCCCATGCTGCCATTTGAGATGAAAAAAAAAGGCAACTGTCAGAATTTTAATTGTGATCAGTTTGGACGGCTGGTACTTGGTACTTTCTCACAATCCAAATTAGTAAACTTGAAAACGCAAACCGATTTTTGCTTTTAGAATTAAATTCTTGTAGAATTAAAGTCTTATGGATTAGATTCATTTCTTTCTCTCACAAGATCATCCCAACCCGGCTCCATTTCAGTTGTGGCAACCCGAAACAGGGCTTGGAGATGCTCATCTGTCAACGGCTGACTCAAAGTGTGTTGGTTTCGTGTCAAATATGAAAAAGCCTTTTCGCAGATTTGGTTACTATCAAACAAGGATGCGACCTTACAGGCAACCCCTTTGATAATTGGGTAAGATTCAGCAGACAATCCAGCATAAAACTGCCCCAAGTCTTTGATTCTGTATTCATTCCAAAGATTAGTGTTTGCCTGAAGTTTTGTCAGCTCCACCCTCACTGAAATAGGTGCATATTCAGGTTTAAAGTTAAATGGATTTGAAAAAAGTTCTAAGTCCTTTTTAATGAACCTGAGGTCCTTAAAATGCCTCTCAAATTCTTTTTGTAGACGACAGATCACCATTTGATACCTATCAGGATCAAATATTTTTTGATCTTCCTTATTTTGCTGTTTTAGCTCATCAACAACTTCTCTGAGGGCAGGAAAGTCTGTTAGATTTTTTTCCTCAATATGTCTTTGAAATAAATTCAGCTTAACTTCGAAAGTACAAATATGGTCAAAGGCAGCAGCAGCAAAGACTTTACTAACTCCTAATTCTTCACTGAGTTCTCGAAGGTGTTCCATAATGTCTACCAAGAAGCCAAAGTCACAAAGCCATTGTTTGTCTGAGAAGTGGACTGTTGTTGCCCCTACTGAAACCAAGAAAGCTTCCAGTTCTTTTCTTAGAGAGAATATTAGTTTTAAAGTTTTCCCTCTCCTAAGCCAATTGTTCAGACATCGTCCATTAACCCTTTCGCCATGCTCTGATTCAGATTCAGTTAGTAAAGTCTGAAATTCAGGTCGCCTAACGCCTCTGGTCTTAATCAAAACTATCCATTCGGATATGGTATTTATGATCTGATTAACATCTACATCATAGGAGCTCAACAGTTCCAAGTGAAGAAATCCTGAATAATGAATCACATTCCAACAGTTGGGGCTTACAGCCTTTTCTCTCATGTATGAGACGAGTCCTGAGTTCTCACCAATCATCCTCAAAGTATGGGTCGTAGTCAGTCCAACCATTCTCTGCAAGCTAAGCCCTGCTGTCTGCAGGGCCTCTAGGATTGCCGACATGAGCGCACCAACACTGAAATGATGAGTCAGGTTGATTATGGTCAGAAGATCTTCTTGCACCTCCAGCTCAGGGCCTACCCCGCGGATAAAGACCAGGAGGTAGTTCTCATAGGCCACAAAAGCCTGGTCGTCCAAGGCAAGAGAATAGGCTTTAAAGTCCCTGGCTCGGTTAAAAAGCTGGCTGCGTAGATTCTCGTCAATGCTCAGGATCCTCTGCCTTGTGATCTCTGGAGATAAGTCAATGCCTTGCAAGACGCTTACATGCTCGGGCAGTACCTCTCTCAGCAATACCTCCATACACTGGTATACAAAGTCCCCCTCACCCCAGCCGCGACCCTTCAAGGCCAAGAGGCGGCAGAGCCCGAGGCCTGCACGAGCAGCTCTCTCTTCAGGAGTGAGCGAGGCCACGGGCAAGTCGCCCTGACGCAGACGCTCCACCAGGGCCGCGCGCTCGCCGTCTGCCACATACCGCTCGTAGTATTCGTGCTCAGCCTCGTAGTGGCGCCTGACGTCGCGTTCGCGGGTAGCTACGATGAGGCGGCGACAGACCAGGCACAGGGCCCCGTCGCCCTCCGGAGGCTCCACCACCAAATAACGCTGGGTCCACTCGGGCCGGAAAACTAGAGCCTCATCGACTTCCATCTTGCTTCTTTTGGGCGTCATCCACATTCTGCGGGAGGCCACAAGACCAGGGCCAACGTTAGAAAGGCCGCAAGGGGAGAGGAGGAGCCTGAGAAGCGCCAAAGCACCTCCTCCGCTCTGCGACAGATCACCTCAGCGGAGGCACACAAACCCAGCTCCGGAATCTCTGTCCCTATTGGCTGGATATTTCGTATTCTCCGAGCTCCAAAAACGAACCAATAGGAAGAGCGGACAGTGATCTCTCTAATGCGCAAGCGCATATCCTTCTAGGTAGCGGGCAGCAACCGCTTCAGGGAGGGACGAGGAGACCCAGCAACCCACAGAGTTGAGAAATTTGACTGGCATTCAAGCTGCCCAATCAATAGCTGCCGCTGAGGGTGGGTCTGGGCGGCGTAAGCTACAGCTTGAAGGAAGAACGTGAGCACGAAGCACTGAGGCGATTGGCTGAAGGCACTTCCGTTGAGCATCTAGACGTTTCCTAGACTCCGCTGGCGCCAAAATGTCGTTCGTGGCAGGGGTTATTCGGCGGCTGGACGAGACAGTGGTGAACCGCATCGCGGCGGGGGAGGTTATCCAGCGGCCAGCTAATGCTATCAAAGAGATGATTGAGAACTGGTACGGAGGGAGTCGAGCCGGGCTCACTTAAGGGCTACGACGTAACGGGTCGCTCCTTTCAATGGTGCGGACACGCCTCCTTGCCCGAGCAGAAGCATGTACAGCGCATGCCCACAACGGCGGAGGCCGCGGGGTTCCGTGACGTGACAGTCAGGCCTTCTCCCTTTCCACAAACCGTGTGTTTTCTTTACCGCTCTCGCGAGACCTTTTAAGGGTTGTTTGGAGTGCAAGTGGAGAAATATACTCAGTGTTGTCGTAATGGTACCGTTAACTAAGGAAGCCACTTAATTTAAAATGATGGTATGCAGAAGATGCAAAGTTGAAAGATGTGTAAAAGCTTAGGATGGGGAAAAAAACCTTTTTTTCAGAGTATACTGCGTTACTGTTTTCTTGCTTTTCATTCATTCCAGAAATCATCTGTACACATCCAAAGGCACAATTCATTTTGAGTTTCATTCAAAACAAATCGTTTGTAGTTTTAGGACAGGCTGATGCACTCTGGGCTTGACTTCTGATTACCCTATTGTTAGATTAGTGACCCCACTTAGTGTTTTCCTGTCCTTTACTTGGGAGGGCGCAATTCGAAGATACCAGATTTCATGGGTCATCCGTGGATTTTGAAGCTTATAACTGTCACAAAAAATGTGCAGGGAAGAAATTTGAAACGTGGAAGGAAAAGTGAGTGTGGACTATAAACTTCCAAAAAGACATGCCCAAAATACACCTAAACGTTATGTCAGATCATTTTGTTAAAATCAGTTGATGTTAGTGAAGTCCGCATATTAATAGAAAAAAGAATGCTTCAGTTAGGAGTGGTAGGTTTCTAGAGGGATTTATTGTGAAAGTATAAACTATTCAGGGCAATGGGACTGAAAGAACAGTGGGTAGAAAGGACCACTGAAGGAAAGGAAGAGAATTGGAAGGTAGATGAAAGAAGGAACAAGAAATGGGGGAATGTTTTCTTCTTTTCACTTGTAATAGTAGTAACAGAAGCAGTGGCAGACTTGCATTTGTTTCTACTATGTTAGAATGAATGACAGAACAACTGGGCCTATTATTGTACTGTGCCAGAATACTGTAAAACAAAACTGAACGTACTAGCTTGGTGGCTTGTAATTAATTCCTTAAGTGGAGATTTTTTATTTTATTTTATTTTATTTTTTTGAGTTGGAGTCTCACTTTGTCACCCAGGCTGGAGTGCAGTGGTGCGATCTCAGCTGACTGCAACCTCTGCCTCACGGGTTCAAGGGAGATTCTCCTGCCTCAGCCTCCCGAGTAGCTAGGACTGTAGGCGTGTGCCACCACGCCTGGCTAATTTTTTGGATTATTGTATATTTTTTTGAGATGAAATTTCACTCTTATTGCCCAGGCTGGAGTGCAATGGCACGCTCTCGGCTCACCGCAACCTCCACCTCCTGGGTTCAAGTGATTCTCCTACCTCAGCCTCCCGAGTAGCTGAGATTACAGCCATGTGCCACCATGCCCGGCTAATTTTGTATTTTTAGTAGAGACAGGATTTCACCATGTTAGTCAGGATGGTCTCGATCTCCTGACCTCAGGTGATCCACCCACCTCGGCCTCCCAAAGTGCTGGGATTACAAGCGTGAGCCACCGCGCCTGGCTCAAGTGGAGATTTTTATATGGAGTCCAGCTATACTCTTTTTAATATATAAGTTGAGCTGACTAATACAACTTCAATACAGGGGCCCATGAGAAGGGTCTATAATGTTTCAGTAACTTATTGTCTTCCTTCTTTTTTTTTTAAGATGAAGTCTTACTCTGTTGCCCAGGCTGAGTGCAGTGGTGTGATCTTGGCTCACGGCAACCTCTGCCTCCTGGTTTCAAGCGATCTTCCTGCCTCAACCTCCAAAGTAGCTGGGAATACAGGCGTGCACAACCACGCCCGGCTAATTTTTTTATTTTTAGTGGAGATGGGGTTTTGCCATGTTGGCCAGGTCTTGAACTCCTGACTTCAGGTGATCCGCCCACCTCGGCCTCCCAAAGTGCTGGGATTACAGACATGAGCCCCCATGCCCAGCCTATTGTTTCTGAATAAAGAATTGTCTATGTGGGGAAGAGATAACTCTTTCTCGTGCAGCCCATGATAGAAAATTTGTTTTCTCTAGCAGGTGGTCTATGCTTGTAGGCTACTCTTTGAAAGCACAAAAAATGTATTGACTTCTTTTTTTTTCTTTTTTTTTTTTTTTGAGATGGAGTTTTGTTCTTGTTGCCCAGGTTGGAGTGCAATGGTGTGATCTCAGCTCATCGCAACCTCCACCTTCTGGGTTCAAGTGATTCTCCTGCCTCAGCCTCCCAAGTAGCTGGGATTACAGGCATGTGCCACCATGCCCGGCTACTTTTGTATTTTTAGGAGAGATGGGGTTTCTCCATGTTGGTCAGGCTGGTCTCGAACTCCTGACCTCAGGTGATCCACCCGCCTTGGCCTCCCAAAATGCTGGGATTACAGGCGTGAGCCATTGCCCCTGGCCAAAAAATTGATTGACTTCCTAAAGATTTATTAACTTTCTGCATTACTGTTTTTTTCTAACCTGCATCATAAATATAAAAGGGAATAGTAGAGAAAATCGTTCAGAATTTGTATCTTTTAGGGACATTTTATTAGAGTCACTAAGGAACCTGAGGCTGAATAAAGTTCAGGTAAAAGTAAAATTAGTTAAGAAGAGGCATCTGCCAAAAGAAATCTATTTTTAACTTCTTGCTGTCTTTCCTAGAGGAACAGAAATAATGCTGAATGTCCTATTGGAAATGATGGTTGCTGTGCCGTCTGTTCCCTCTCTCACACAGTGTGTAAACTCATACAGTGTATGAGCCTGTAAGACAAAGGAAAAACATGTTAATGAGGCACTATTGTATTTGTTTGGAGTTTGTTATCATTGCTTGGCTCATATTAAAATATGTACATTAGAGTAGTTGCAGACTGATAAATTATTTTGTGTTTGATTTGCCAGTTTAGATGCAAAATCCACAAGTATTCAAGTGATTGTTAAAGAGGGAGGCCTGAAGTTGATTCAGATCCAAGACAATGGCACTGGGATCAGGGTAAGTAAAACCTCAAAGTAGCAGGATGTTTGCGCACTTCATGGAAGAGGCAGGACCTTTCTCTGTTCTGGAAACTAGGCTTTTGCAGATGGGATTTTTTCATTGAAAAGTTCAACACCAACAATAAATACTTATTGAGTACCTATTCTTTGCTGGGCACTGTTCAGGGGATGTGGCAGTGAATAAAATAGATTAAAATCTTTTCTGATGCTTACATTATAGTGATGGGAGACAAAATGGGTATAATAAATAGTATGTCAGATAGCATTAAGTGCTGTGGAGAAGACTAAAGCGGGGAGGAAGATAGTGTGCAAGCTGGAAAGGGTGCAGTTAAATTGAGTGGTTCAGGAAGGCTTCCATGTGGATGTGATATTTGAGGGACCGGTGGAAGTCAAGGAGCAAATTGTGAGGCTACCTAAAGGTATTGGCATACAGAATAATATATGCAAAGACTATTAAATGGAAGCATACCTGACGTGTTAAAGGACTATGAAGGAGGCCAGTTTGTCTAGAGGCTGAAAAGGAAAGAGTAATAGATGAGGTCTAAGTGAGAACATGTAAATCCTTGTGGGCCAAGGTAAAATCTTTAGCTTTTTTTCTGAATATGGTGGGATACTATTAGAGGGTTTTAAGCAGAGGTTGCGTGGTGTGGTGAGTTTTTTTAAAAAAATCCTTTGTCTTTCTGTGTGGAAAATAGCAGGACAGGGCAGAAGCAGTCTGTCCTGCAGACTGCTTGGTCGCAGTAAAGATGTAGGAAGCAGTGAGATTCTGGGTTGATTGTGGAGGCAAAGCTCTCAGAATTTGCTCATATAGGTTGTGAGAGAAAGAGGAATCAGGAATGATTTCAAGGTTTTGGTCTGGTAAATGGAAGAAGGAGTTGCCATTTACTAAGATGGGAAAGACTATGAAAGAAGCAGATTTTCGGAGAGATCAGAAGTTCATTTTGGGGCATGTTCAATTTAAGATGCCTGTTAGTTGGATGTTTATGTGAGTTTGGAGTGCAGGGTGGAGATTTAGGGATGAATATTTGGTGGTTGTCTGCATTGTAAAGGTATTAAAAGCCACAAGAAGGCTGGGCGCGGTGGCTCATGCCTATAATGCCAGCACTTTGGGGGGCCAAAGCAGGCAGATCACCTGAGGTCGGGAGTTCGAGACCAGCCTGACCAACATGGAGAAACCCCATCTCTACTAAAAATACATAATTAGCCGGGTATGGTGGCACATGCCTGCAATCCCTGCTACTCGGGAGGCTGAGGCAGGAGAATCACTTGAACCCAGGAGGCGGAGGTTGCAGTGAGCCGAGATTGTGCCATTGCACTCCAGCTTGGGCAACAAGAGCGAAACTCCATCTCAAAAAAAAAAAAAAAGCTTTGAGACTCACCTGTAAAGATACTCAACATCATTAGTCACTAGGAAAATGAATAAAAACCACAGTGAGATATCACTTCATACCTATTAGGATGGCTATTATCAAAAACAAAAACAAGTGTTTGCAAGGATGTAGAGACTGGAATTCTTGTGTATTGCTAGTGGGAATGTAAAATAGTGCAGGGTGCTATGGAAAATGCTGTGGCGATTCCTCAAAAAATTAAACAGAATTATCATATGATCAAATAATTCCACTTCTGAGTTATTCCCAAAAGAAGGGACACAAGCAGATATTTGTACACTCATATTCATGGCAACATTATTTACAGTAGCCAAAAGGTGAAAGCAACCTAAGCATCCATCTGTGGATGAAT